TTACCTTGTAATAGGATATATGTCGTGGTTTAACCTGGCAGGCAGCCAAACCCCATGCAGCCACTCACTCATTCCCCCCCCACCCCCCCAGTGAATCAGAAGGGTAAGAGTGAGAAAAACTCGTGAGTTGGGATAAAGACAGTTTAATAGAACAGAAAAGGGAAAATAATAATAATAATAATGATAATGATAGAATATACAAAATGAGTGATGCACAATGCAATTGCTCACCACCCGCACTGACCGATAACCAACGAGCGATCGCTACTTGGTGGATCATGCCTACCATTCATATGCTGAGCATGACATCACATGGTATGGAATACCCCGTTGGCCAGCTGAGCTGGCTGTCCTGATTATGTTCCCCCCCAGCCTCTGCTTGGTACAGCATAGGAGCTGTCCTTGGCTAGGAGGGGACTTGGCAACAACTGAAAACATCAGTGTGTTATCAACATTCTTCTCATACCAAATCCAAAACACAGCACTAGGAAGAAATTTAACTCTATCCCAACCAAACCCAGGAAAATATATTATTTTGACCTTTAGTTTTTTGGTCTTTTTTTTTTCACTTGGAAACCCCCCAAATTCAGCAAGTTCCAGTTGGTCTTTACAGTGCTGTGTCTGAAATTAGTATTTCCTTTTATCTTTTCTTCCTTCTTATCTAAACATAACTGTTGAAATTAAGTGCTTCTACATCCTCTTGTGGTATTGTGCTCTGCTGAGTAAGGACAATTTTAGTACTGAAGCGACATAACCTATTAGATTCTTCTCTGCTTTTATTAATCTGATTTTAAAGGTTCATACTATTTTGAGTCCTGTTGGCTTTCATTTTACTTACTTAAATCATGTTGGTCTACCATTCCCTTAGGAGAAGTTTGAAAGCTGACTTTGTCCAGTCACTTACATTGTTCCAAACCAATCTGTGTTGTTAAGACCTAGCTCTGTTGCAGCATGATCCACAGGGCCCTTGTTAGGCAGAGGAATGTGTTGATTTAGTGTATGTCAGTGCAAATCACGCTCAAGGAGTCCAGACTTCTACTGTACATAAACCATGAATTTTTTCCATGGCTGTACCTTCACTCTGTGTTCTTGTGCCAGCCTTCAGAGCGCGGGGCAGCCGTTAGCCTCCCCCAGATCCCTCTTGTGCCTCTCACAAAATTGCCTTCTGGCTCCTCATGAACTGCATCAGCATTTGACTGAGCTTAAGATCTGGTTTTTCACATTTTTCTATAGTTCAATTCCTTGTTTCTCTGCTATCTGGATATTAAAAAAAAAAAGTAAGAGCTTGGTGGGGAGGGCGGACAGATCATGAGAGAACAGAGTTCTTGACATCAAAACTGGAAGGTGAAGATGTGTAGCCATTTGCTATGTGTGAAAGACTATGAGTTCTTTGGTTAGAGTCTTGCTGCTTTTGACAGCCACTTACTGTGAGATCCTCACTGACACATACTTTTAGAGGAAAAGCTTAAAAAAAAAAGAAGAAAGAGAGCACTTACTTTCCTGATTATCAACTGACTTTTTCAGATGGTGAAACCACAACCTTCTCTCCACTCTTGTCTGTCAGGGTCTTCATCTTGAAGGATGATTCAAATTTACAGTCCTTAAATAGCAACGGGGAGCTGAGGGAGGATTGCCTGTTATAGGACTCAGGAGACACGAGCCCCCTGAGACACTTGCTGTTCAAAGCATTCTTTAACCTGTGAAACACATGAGATTCATCCACGCCTTAGGCAAGAGCTACACCGCTGGCATCCTTTCAGAATAGTACCATTACTGTGGTATAGTGGCTGCTCTTCTCTGTTGATTAGCTGCATGTTGTGTTTGGCTTCCCATCTAATCTTGAGATTATACAGTGTATAGATTATATAGTGAACGGAGGAACAATTTATGTACTTGAGAATGGATACTCAGGAGTGATCCTCCTTGGGTCCAGGTGGTGTTTGCCTCCAAGAACCCAGCCTGGCTTCTGTTCTGTATCCCAAAAAAGAGGTGCTAAGGCTGTTTCCATTAACCAGAGACTTCCCTGAGTCTGCAGCACTCAGCTTCTTTAGTACGATATTCTATCTACATAATCTTTGTACTAATTCTCTGAATCTTTTATTTAGTAAAACTATTTTTCAGGGTGTGGATATTCTCAGAATAGGAAAAAAAATCCCCATGATTATTTAACGGAGCGTACACACTGAAATGTGTAAAAATGTGCTGAATCTCATGTTTCTCTTACATACTGCTCTGCATCTATCTGACCTAAATCAGCATGTGTCAACTTTCCACCAGCTTTTACATAAAATGTTATTATACTGTCTTGAAGACAAGATAGTAAGCAGGTGAAACATCCTAGCTGGGTCCATGAAGAGAAATCCAAACCCTTCCTCCAGAATGCAGTAAACTGGCAGTTAGACACCCCTTTCATCGCCTGAAATCTGAGTTGTGATGTGGTGGTTCTCACATGCCGAGTCATTCGGCAATGTTTCCAAATGTTTATTTGACAGTGTTCCCTGCTCTCAGAAACGGCGAAAGAGGCTTATTTTTCCCTTGCTCATATTTTTTTCAAAGATCGTGTTCGTTGTCTTCATCTTTGGTCTGTTTCTTCAGAGACATCAGAGGTATCAGAGGGGGTTCTTCAGAGACATCAGCAGCTAAGCTCCACCCAGCCACTTGCTCCCCCAAAGGGGAGAGAATAGGGGGAGCAAAAGCAAGAAAACTCGTGGATAAAGACAGTTTAATAAGTGAATGGAAGAGGGGAAAAAGAGGTGACGCAAAGGCAATCATTCACCACCTTCCACAAGTAGACTGATACCCAGCCAGTCTCTAAGCAATGGCTACCTCCCAGACCAACACCCCCCAAGCCCACCCTTTTTTATTGCTGAGCAGGAGGTCATCTGGCACAGAATATCCCTTTGCTTAGCTTGGGTCAGCTGGCTCAGCTGTGTCCCCTGCCAGCTTCTTACCCACCGCTGGCCTGCTTGCTGGGGGGCAGAGGGGGAAAAAGAGAAAAGAGAAAGCCTTGGCGCTGTGCAAGTACTGCTCAGCAATAGCCAAAACACTGGTGTGTTATCAATGCTGTTTTAGTCACAAATCCAAAATATAGCACCATGCGGGCTGCTGTGAAGAAAATTAACTCTGTCCCAGCCAGACCCAGTACAGGGCGGGGCCAGAAAACCAATTATTCCTATCATGGAATAATTTAAGTTTTTGTGTTCAGGAAAATAAACCTGTGAAGCCTGAGAAATTCTTGTTTACTTGAACCAGCGCCACATAAAATTCTTGCCATTTCTGAGTGGCAGTGTGTGAACTGGAGAAGAGCTTTCCTCTTCCCCATTAGTGCTGTTTCATTTCTCAGGCTGATTGTGCTTACAGCCAGCAACCCTTCACATGCACGTCTGTTGGCTGCTTCTTTAAGGTTGGTGTTCCTGTCGCTAAACTTTAGCAGTTGGGATGCAGCTTCTAAGTTTCGGTATAGCCATGTGAATTTGGTGTCTGGGCTCCAGTGGGTCCCAGTGGAGATCTGCCAGTGGTGTCCAGGGAGTTCAGAGTGTGATTCAGCTAATCAAATGTAGGTGTCTGCTCTTGGGGAAAAGGGAGGCTCTCAAGGCTTCACTCACTTTAGTGACTTGATGTCCACTGACTGTATGGTGCAGGCATAGGCATTGACATCGTCGGTTTCTACCATCAGGTGCCCGAATCTAAATCCAGATACCAGGCCCAACCCCGGGGGCTGAAATCAGTAGCCTGCATCTGGAGCTGTTTGAGATACCCCGGGGTATTTTGACTTGCCTCCAGCTGCCAGGCCAGAGGGACCTGGCTCTTCCAGAGGTTGTGCATCCTATCTGCCAACCACGTGGGTGTCTTACATACCCACGAGTGTCTGAAATGGCACTTAGTGTCTGGGCAGCTGAACTGACCCCCTGGTGGAGCCTCAAATACCCACAAGTGTGATAATGCAGGTTCTCTTCGTAGTAAGTATAAAGAAATAGGTCCTGATGTTTCAAACTAATTTAGATTTCTGTGGCCTGCAAGTACCTGTTTCTCTGCATCGAATATGACAGTTGACTAGAGGTAGAGGTTATCAAAACTGAGACGTTTCAATGAGGTGAACACTTCTACAAAGTCACATGCCCTTCTACAAAGGGCCCAGTAATTTCTCTGTGTGTTTGTTTGGTCTTTTTAAACCTGCTGTCTTAGAGTATCACATATGTTTATACATTATTTAGCAGCTGGAATACATATTCCCTTTTTATTTGTAAGGCACATTGACATACTTGTCTGTTGCACAGCAACGTGTTTTAAGTAACTTCTTTTCATGACAACTGCTTTTTATGATTTCTGAGTAGGAGTGCTGGCTCCTGTATTTTCCAGATGAAAGTTGAGATGATGTCCTTATTTATAGACAGTAAAGGGAAAAGGGAAGAGGAAACTTTAGACTAATATTCAAAACTCTTCTTTTATGCTGAGTGTACAGAAGGTTTAGTTATAGAATCATAGAATCATTTAGGTTGGAAAAGATCATCGAATCCAACCATAAACCTTTACATTTATTAATGTATTATTTATTATTTTATCATCTTTATAGATGCAGAAATATATGCTTTCTTGCACACCAGGGGATAGATAAGCTATGTCAATCCAGGGGGTCCTTTATGCTTCCGATTTATGTGATCTGGTGGAAGGCCATACCCATAGAACTTTTGAAGCAATTGTCAGATACAGGCTTACACTAAGGGAAGTGGTTTGTGGCAGGTTGCCGTCCGGAGCAATTTCATTTGAGATAATGGTTCTGGGGGTTACAGAGCCGACTCCCTGCATGACGTTTGCGGGAATGCTCATCAGTGTGCAGTCTTTTAAATATTTCATACTGTTTATGAAGGTCTAAAACACAAAGAGAAAGATGGCAAGAAAATGAAAGAGACATTTTAGGAACATTTTAGGAAGATTTTCACCCTTGGATAAGCAGTTGTTATAAAGTAGTAATTTATCACATTGAATGTTCTTCCTTTCAGCCAAGGAGTATTGCAAAGTTATATTTCCATATGAAGCACAGAATGATGATGAACTCACAATCCGAGAAGGTGATGTCGTCACACTTATCAGTAAGGTAAAAGCAATATTTTTCTCCTATAAGCAGGGATCCAATTTTTAAAATAGACGTCATTCCATTGCTGTAAAATCCTATTTGTGCCTTTGACAGTGTCCTTCCTAAAACTATGCTAGTTTGGCAATGAAACATTACATAGACTTCAGAAAGCCCTACATCTCCCTTCCTCTTGTGCTTTCAAGCCTTACCTTGATCATGTTAAGTGAAGAACAGCAGACATGTTGTCTTGAGTTTGCAAGTTTATACAATTAATTTTAATTTGAATCTGCTAAATTGAGCCCCGTAAAAACATAAAAGCCTAGAGAATAAACTGGTAAACTCAAGAAAGCAGCAGCTTTGAACATCTCTGTTAGATGTGTGAGTTATCTTTCTTGTAGGAATTATAAATTAGATTTTTTGGGTTAGATGGAGATTATGTACCTAAATTAGTTTAATGAACTAAACACTTATTTAAAATGTAGCCACCTTTAACACTATGGTAAAGCAGAAAAAGATGATAAAACAGAAATTAAATTAAAGAATTTTAGATCTGTGGTTTTTTCTTTAAAAATACTTGAAATTATTCAAGATAAGCAATGAAAAACCAATGCCAGGATTTATACTAAATCTCCAAAAACTATATGGTAAGATGGTGAGTAAACAGTTGGTTTTCTTTTAGAAGAGCTGTGTACCATGTTTCAAAGAACGCATTATAGTTTAGGTGCACTTAATTTCCTGCTCTTGTTTAAAGACTTTACAGTTTGTTTAAATGTTTCTGACTGCTGGACGTAAGTATTTGGGGGAAAAAGCTACGAACTAGAAAAGGCTGTGGATTTTGCATGATGAAGATGAATTGTAAGGATGTGCACAATAGTGCTGCTGTTGTTTGTGCTTATATGAAAGTAAAAGAATGAATTCTGTAATTGATAAGTTTCATAAGAAATGGTTACTTGACTGAGCAATTTGGCTGGGCGAAAAAAACCAAAAACCTTGGGAAGTACATCTGGGGCAGTGTTTGCTATATACTAAGCCATCTGCAATCCTAGAGGACATCTTCTTTGTCCTGAATAATATCCATGTAACTGGGGAAAAATAATCAGACATTTGGTAGGAAGAGAAACTGCAAATTAAAAAAAAAAAAAAGCATAAATTAAATATCCTTTAATGACTTGCCCTCAATGACTTTTTTTGTTTAGCTTGTCTTGAAAACTGTTTGGCTTTGCCTGAGTTAGAATATTCTTGTGTGAATATTTAACAGTGTCTCTGATCATGGAAATGGCTTTTAAGATGTTGTTCTGTCCACTTTACGCTTTATTGACCAAGTTGATTTAACTCTCTGAGATGGCTGCTCTCCAGGTGGAGCTGTGTTCTTCAGTATACATAGGTAAAGAGACAATTACTTTACTGAGGTTTAAATATGAGATTTCATTTGCTTGCTTTTTCCCATTTGCTTCTTCCTGCTGCCTCTGTCCCCACAATGGAAGGATATTTGTCTTTTATAATAATGGAGCTGATGGTTTGACTGAATTGATCAGTTTTCCCAACCATGCAGTGAGAAGTTTGTCAGTATATCCTCTAGTATATCCCCCTGTCCTTCTACTCTCCAGCCTGATGGTATCAAGACACTGCAGACTTTTAATTCAATTTTCTTCTTTTTACTGTGGTGTTTCACATGTCTATGAACAATTACATAAAACCATGCCTCTAGAGAGTGGGGGATCTCAATGCAAAAAGGCTTGGCATTTCTCCGTGGATGCTTTTTTATGCTGTCTCTGAACTAATCTGAGATACTGAAGAAACAGTGCGTAACAAGCAGTCACTTTGCAGATCCTTTTGTGGTTTGCAGACCTCATTGCAGTCAGACTTGGTTTTTTCATCTGTTTTTAACACATAGTTTAAAAAATAAAATTCAAGTGATGTGGAGTCAAGGTCCTTGCTGTAGAGTTCTGAAAACAGTGGGGGTCTCCTCCATGCTCTACCATGCAATATAGTAACTTTATTTTAGTCCAAATCTTCTGAAGCAGGTGTCTGCTGTAATTTTTCTTTTAGTCAGCAATAACAAAGTCAGCCTCACCTTTCTGCCCACTAATGGCTTCTGCTAGAGAGTTGCCTTTTACCTGGAATTCAACTCACTGTGCTTAGAGAGTCCTTTCCATAACCAGTTCGTGATCCATACTGACTAAGAAGAATTAAATAGAAACGTATGGAGTACTTCAGAAACTATTACCATGGTTTTGCTTTGCTATCAGATTACAGAGTTTCTTTTAATCTATTTGCAGGAAATTGTTTTGCAGGGTTTTCTTTCTATGCTGGAGAGCATTAGACAAAATTTATTCTTCCCAGTTATCTAGACCCAAGGAGAGAAGATCGTTACTTTTAAAGAAAGAGATGGGTGTCGTAGTACTTCCTACAATCACAGGTGCATTATCATAAAATAATGTATTTTGTTGCAATCACTAAAACCAGAAAGTTATATGAACTCTCAGTATGAAAAGTCCCTCACTAGGCTAATCTGTTTTCACACAGTCAGATCTATAGGAATGTTGAAGACTCACAATTTTAACTCGTACTGATTTTGCATTTAATTGAAAACAATGGCATTGGTGAGAATGTGTGGAAGTGGCTGAAGTAATAAGGAGTGAGTGACACAGAATGGGAGAGAAATCTCATTAAAATAACGCAAAATGCATTACAAGAATCTTAAAAGCATGAAGATGAGATAGCACTTGATAGGTACTAAGAGGAAGGGCAATGACTTAAATGAGCTAAATGCTAAGTTTCTAGGAGAGCCTGTATATTTGTTCACGCACATAGGAGAATATGTGTGTGAAGAAGCTGTTAGTCTGGTATTCATCTTAAAATGCTAAAACTTTATTTTGTGGAAAGAATTACAAAGGAGTGGTATCAGAAAATGCAGAATTCAAAATCTCCATTTTAACAGTGCCCCTGCAGATAAAAGGGATAAGATTATATCCGATTTCTCTCTTTTTTTCAGCTAAATTAGTTATAAAAGTCCCTTTGTCAAGATCATCAAATATCTACCTAATATAAAGGACAAACCAATATTTTTTTGTCATGGCCTTTGCAGAATCTGTTTCAAGTTCTCACTCTGTTTTGATGGATGTTGAAATCTTGAATCAAAAGCTGATCAGACCTTTCCTATAGGCCTCTTGATAAGAGAATTTGAATATCTGAGGTTTTTTATGCAATAGCCAAAGAATACTCTGAACGGATTTGCTGAATCACAAGTGACTTCCCTAGTCACTTGGAGAATGTGCTGATAAGTTTTATTTAAACACTGAAATGAGTCAGTAGAGGCTGATTGTTTACTGGTCAGAACAGTAGGTATTTGGGGAGATACAAGGGGAAGGATGACATTATGCAAGACTGCTAGCCAAAAATAATTGCCAATTAAACAGCATATTGAGTTATTTTTTGATGAATTGCATAGGCCTAAATCATGGAAAAGATGCACAATGAGATAGAGTCCAAACATATGGCAGTAACAGTTGTTTTCTCATAGGTTAAAATTTACCTAAAAGACCAGAAGAAAAGCAGAAATTAATTTTACAGAAATGTATTTCAAAAATTTCTGGAAAAGGTTTTTCTCTCCTCCTTTTCACCAGAGAAGCAAATACCCTTGTAGATACATAGAAAATGTTTTATTTATTAATTACTTGAAATTAAAGTGGACAAATGGTAGTTCTTTCATTCCTTCATGCAAAATATTTAAAGATAAAAGACCAGAAAATATTGCTCAGAATTGTAAAGGAAGGTAAAAACTTCATCTTCAAGGCAATAAAACAGTAGACCTGGTACCTTTGCTTTGCAAAAAGGGGGTCTAAGAAAAATACACT